GAACAGTGTGAAAAGTAGCATGTTCTAAATTTATATGAGATCCAGTCACTGTATACAGCTTAACAAAAATTTATCAACTATGCTTCCTACTGGTATGAATAATTTTCACTGAATAATTTATAAAACTCTACACACGATTCATATCAAATAAACTTGTAAATGGCCGGAACATTAGTGAACAGATGTGAATGGTTCAGATCTTAGTAAATGTGTTTTCAGTGCAAAATGCCATTTCTATGTTTTAGAACAGTAGGCTTCAAAAAATGAAGTGTGCATATGCCAGTGGAAGGACAAGGTGAACCCTGGAAGTGCAAGAGGTAATGTAGAACTTTGATTTTTTAAACATCTTATCCTTTTAAAATTTCCTTTTTCCCTGTACATGTTTTATAATATACATAATAGATCAGTATAACAATATATGTAATTTATAAATGATCAAAATTTGGATTGTATTCTCTAATTTTTTCTGTTAAGAGTTAACATGATCAAAAAAGTTTAGAATATCACTAACAAGAACCACCAAGCCACTGCCTCCGTCACAGCCTTATGCTTGATTCTGGTCTAAAAGTGAACAAAATGTAAACAAAAATTTTCAAACTAATGCTAAATGCAAGTTTTTCGTTGTTGTTGTTTTTTCCAGAGGTGGGGTCTCTGACCAGGTTAGGGTGTGAACAGGACTTGCACTCCCTTAATCTAGCTCCAGGTGGTCTCCTAATCTTTTTTAAACTTTTTATTTAATTTATTTAATTTTGCCTGCTTTGGTTCTGTGTTGCTGTGTGCGGCTTTCTCTAGTTGTGGCGAGCGAGGGCTACTCTTCGTTGCGGTGCGCAGGCTTCTCGTTGCAGTGGCTTCTCTTGTTGCGGATCATGGGCTCTAGGCGTGCGGGCTTCAGTAGTTGTGGCGCGTGGGCTCAGTAGTTGTGGCTTGAGGGCTCTAGAGCGCAGGCTCAGTAGTTGTGGCGCACAGGCTTAGTTGCTCCGCGGCATGTGGGACCGTCCCAGACGGGGGCTTGAACCCGTGTCCCCTGCATTGGCAGGCAGATTCCTAACCACTGCAATGCAAGTTTGCCATCAACCTTTTAAATAGGTTAACCACACACAAAAAGTGTGGCAAATGTTTCAAAGTAGCATTTATTTTTTAAAAGCACGTTATGAGGTAGACTTAAACTAAAATATTCAGTGCATATATTAATAAAAGGTTTATTAAAACCTTAAAATTTTATGTAGATATGTATGTAGATAAATTCACCTACAATTCTACCATGCATTTGAAAAACAACTCAATTGAAAAGGTAAAAACGTCACATTTTTAGAAAGCTTTTCTAATTCTGAAATAAAGAACATTCGATCTGTTCAAAAACTTTGTGGGAGGGAGGTAGTTGTTTCAGTTTTAGATTTCATAAGTTATTTTACTAAATCATTCACCTTATAGCTAGTTTTCAATGAATGTGAATATCTTTACTAGAAGGTAGGTAAAAGGTACTATAATGCAATTAAGAATTTCAAGATGGCTTCAGCAGAGCATTAAACCAAGCATGGGGCTTTTCTCAATGGAGGCCCTTAAATGACTACATAGGTCACATACGCATGAAGCCAGCCCTGCATCTAAGTCTGTATCAACTGCAGTTATAGGAATACTAAAACCTTAGTTATCTTTGTCCCTTGAGCTCTAGACTAGGCATCTAGTAGGGAGTCACATGTTTGTTGAATGAAAAACTGAGTCTTGGCAGTTTTCCAAATCAATGAGAAATGCTTAGTTTTTCTGACCTATGGTCAGAACAAATTCTTACTCCAATGAATAGTCTGTTCATTATAATAAATGATGGATTCCTGTAGTACTGAATAGTTGCACATCACAATTCTGGCTTCATGGAAATTTGAGGCCACATATGGTGAAGATTCATTTGATTCATTCAACAAAAAGTTATTGATCCTGCTGGGCACTGGGAATAGAAGAATAAATAAGAGTCCCTGCCCTCAAGGAGCTTATAGTCTGGCATGAGAATCTAGTGAGAAACAGCACCTCAGAATCTAGTGAGCAAACTTTCTGGTGTCTGGCATATTATCTGGAATACTCCATATGTCCTGAAAATGTGAATCTAAAATTTGTCAGAAAGCACAGTTTGGAAATGGAAGATGCAATGAAATTTAAAAGAAAATTCAAACATTCAACTTCTACTGTAAAAACCATGAAATCTAAATGAGGAAAAAACTCGGGAAAGCTGAAAATTCTATTTTAAGTACTTTGGACCAGATTTAAATTTTTAAAATTGTTTTATTATCTCTGGCATTTTCATTTATAGTGACATTTATATACACATGTACAGAGGTGTGTGCATGTGAGATGTATTCCCTGGAGCATTTAATAAAACCCATTTTTCTATCACTAATTCATTTACAACTAAAAAAGCGGCATACAGCGGCATATCCTTTTGATGATAATTTCCATTATCGTTTGAATGGAAGAAATTCTTACGAATTGTGTTCAGGGTATAAATTTCGGTACACTCTCATTTTGCACTGAGACTTAACTGTGTCTTTGTACAGTGTGTGATAATTTAACCATGTATTTTATTTTATTTTTTAACCATATATTTTAATAATTACTGACAGTTTAATGGCATCAAAAATACTCTTAAGTCTATCTGGATTTTCACTGGTTTTTTTTTTTTCCCTCTGCACTCTTCTTTTTTCTTAAAAGCATGAAAGACCCCTGTGCAACTACAGAGCCTTTGTTTTTGCTTCCCTGTACTTTGGTACATTGCTTCTCCTTAATCTAGCAGCATCCTTAGCTTGTAGTATTTTACTTAGTGGCAACTGAAAAAAATCACTAGCTTGGGCTTTAACTGGGAACTATTATCCAGAAGGTTACTGTGAACCTGTCAGGAAGGTGGTGAGCAACCAAAAGAGCTGTCTCACAGACTGTGCACCCAGAGCTCATCCAGCCCATTAGAAACTAAGCAGGCTTGGTTATCTCACGTCCCAGCTCATTACAGATGAACACAGCACATTAGAAGGAAGTGGGGAGCCTGTTAGAGGCAGGTACATTGATAGTGTGGTAGGAGACCACTATATGAACAAAACAAACTGCTTAGCAGATACAAAATTTTTTAAATTAAAAAAAAAAACAAAAACCACACCAAGAATCTGAGGCAAATTATTATATATACCTCGAGGCTGAGGGAATCACTTTATAATAATTAATATCAATTTGTTATAGCCCTTTACAATTTATGAATTATTTTACATACATCAGAGTTCATTAGATATTTGTAACAACACATGAATATAACTTTTACTTTGATCATGAAAAAGTGAATTGTACTGAGCATGCTGTTTAAGAAGAAGGCGGGTAGGTATACTGACATATCTGAAAGACTTGCATCAAAAATAATTACAAGTTTTAAATTTTGGCACTTAAGATATATGCATTAATTATCCCAACATTAATATATATGCTTTCCTTCATGACCAACACTGTGTTACTGAATTTTCATAGCTCTCAGTGACTGCTGGTCATTAAATGGGGATGACTGTCATCAGTAAGTTATCAGACCATTTCTCCTGTTAAACACAAGCTTAACAGATTCTTATGGATGCCGACACCATATATTCTAATATGGGAAACACTAGGCTCCTAAAAGAGTCTCAGAGTGTTTTTCCTATATTGCACTTTCTAGAAAACAGCCTTAACAATGATATGATGTGATCTTGGTTCTAGACGTAGGAGTGAGGAATATTTGATTTACCTTTTTCATGCTTGTTTTCCTAAAATTTTTGGTATAACCTCTTCTCAGGGATGTAACAAGGAGAAACAAAATATACATGCTCTTTGGGCTTCTGAGAAAAAAGACCACAGACATTTTCAAAAGATAAAAACAGAGATCTCTTCTGCATCAGCCACTTCATTTTCACAACTGAAAATAAGGAACTGCGGTATATTTGATGTTTTTAAACTCATTCAACATAGCTTTGCCATAAATATACTGTTCTGCAGAAAGCTTTTTAAAACATGTATAATTTATACTATACTTACCAACAATTATATTATCAATTATAATACATTTACCAATTATCATGATTAAAAATGACTAAATAAAATTTTAGAGTTAAAAACACCAGATTAGATTTTATACACTAGGTGAAACGGGATCTTGAAATTTTAAGTGTAATCTCCTCCAATAGTATGGCGTTCCTGATGCCCTTTAATTCCTTGATTAATATCCCCTGATGACTTTCTAATCATGACAATACCTCAGAGAGGACAAAGGTTTTGTTGAGTTTGCTATTAATTTTTAATTCTCATCTGTGAGGCTCTGTTTTTGTATAGCTATTAATCCTCCATTTTTCTTTACTTTATAGCTACTTGCCCTACATGAGGGTTTTTAGTTAGGAACAGACCGTATGTGTGCCCTGCAGTTTATGGCGTTAATTCTAATGGAAATTGTCTATCTTGTAAATGTTCTTTTGTATGGTGCAGAAGATGAGCCAGCTCTGAAATAAACAACTTCCAGAGGGTGTTAAATAAGTAAATTAACAGGCCAGTTTACCATCCTTTACAAACTAAAGGGCAAAATGGTAGAGTAGTAAGCACAGGCTTGGAACTAAAACATTGAGTTTGAATCTCAGTGCTGCCACCCCATGCCAGCTCTGTGACTTATGTCAAATCAACCTTTCTGACCTTCCATTTCCCCCAAAGTACATTGGTGCTCATGCCACCCACCTTGCAGTTTTTGTGAGAGTTACTAGTAAAGTATGTGCATCATTTGACACACGATAGATATTCTTGAATCATGGACTGAAATTTATTAGAGTTGGGCAATATTTGGGCCCAGCATCTACATGGAGCACTCTCCCAAGGAGATGCAATATATGGAAACTTCTTTTGATTATCAATACAACCATTGTACTTAGAAGGTTTTTTTTTTTTTTCCTTCGGTATGCGGGCCTCTCACTGCTGTGGCCTCTCCCGTTGCGGAGCACAGGCTCCGGACGCGCAGGCTCAGCGGCCATGGCTCACAGCTGCTCTGCAGCATGTGGGATCTTCCCGGACCGGGGCACAAACCCATGTCCCCTGCATCGGCAGGCGGACTCTCAACCACTGCACCACCAGGGAAGCCCAGTAGCTTATTTTTAATGTCAACATTAGGTGTTTTTGTCTCTTTATTTTCTCTTAAATATGTGTTTTTAAGAAAGTTTATGGCAAACCTGTGTTTTCACTGTGGGTACTTTTTTTGATGACTAAAACATTTCCAATTTTTTTTTAACATCCATGGTAAGAAAGATCTAATTTTTAAAATTTGTCCTACAGCCAACATTATCCAAGTGAGATGTAACCTCTGTACGTTTGTGAATGGCTGTCTGGCAGGTTCTACAAAAAGTGTCATTTTTATTCATGTATTTGGGTTGCTTAAACATTTCTATAAGATTTAAAACACTTTTCTTCTTATGGCTGGAATTCTCAGCATTGATACTCCCATGCCTTCCTTTTTCAATCTACTGGCCAGTTTAAAAGTATTCACAATAATACAACTTAAAGACAAAAAAAGTGTTCATAAGTCATTGTTTTAACAGCCAGCATAATACGGTAGAAATTGCCCTGAGCAAGGAATTAAGAGACTTGAATTCAAGTCCTGACTCTGCCACTAATTTTGCAGGATGACTTTAGGCAAGTCACTTAACTTCTCTCATTCATCTAATAACGAGATTGAGTCCATTTTAAGTTACTTTCTACCTCTAAAATTGCTTTTATTTGCTTATTTTTTTAATAATCAAAACACCTTCTGGGAGTTGTGTTAAGCACCTGATGGGTACAGAAATATTTACTGATGTTTAAGGTAGTAATATTTGAAGCTGTGATCCAGGAACCACCTGAATACAGATTACTTGGGGTTCGTGTTAAAAATACAGATTCCTGTCCTCTCCCTGGCTGAATCAGAACCTCCTAAGGTGAGGGCCAGGTTTCTCTATTTTTCACAAGCTCCCCAGTGAGTATAATGCACCCTAATGTTTGAGAACCACTGGCCTAAGAGAATGTGTTCTAAGAGGGAAAAAGCTAGCATGTGGCTCAAATTACTCCAGCCTCTGGCAAATCTCTTCTCAGGACAGTCCCATTCAAAGTGGAGGAGACTAGAAAAAAGCTGCTTACTTCAGCAGAGTAGTCAGCCTTATGCCTGGCCCCTGCGTGATGCTTTTTACTTGCTGTATTCCATAACAAAACACAACAAAAGGTCTTAGTCATGACACCCAAGTCACGGACCACCACAGTTATGACAACAGCTTGAAGACAATCACAGTTCTCCCTTCATAAATGGTAAGAGAGTTAAGCTCAAGGAAGATGAGAAAAACACAACGTCTTTACTCTCGATTTTCCCTCCACCTGTTATCCTCTGTGATTCAAATAATCTGGCAGAGGAAACAGAAAATCTAAGCCGCATTGTTCTCGTCACTCTGTGGCCAGGTAGAAAGTATAATCTAATAAATAAATCCTCTTCTATACAATAGAAATGACCAAAGCCCATTCCTTCTCCTCTTTTCCTTTCTAATGCTGTTGACAGGAACAAAATACCAAGGACACATGCTACAGATTTAAAAATTCATACAAATAAACTACAAAGAGAGGTGGTAATTTTTTTCCTAGAATTTCACAACAAAATCCCTCTCACAGTGAAAAATATGTATAATTTTAACAGGAAACTTAAAAGACATTTTGCTGCAAAACTATAACAGTTGTAAGAATAATGCCATTATCTGTGCTCATTATAGAGAAACAACAGCAACTTTAAAAGGCCAAGTATACTGATAAGATGAAATTTCTTTTCAACCAGTATGCCAACATCAAACTTCTAGGTTTTATTCAACACTAGCATCACGAGTTTCTCCTAATCCAACCAAAACTCCTGCCAAATGTCCACAAAATTACACCAAAATCAAAAAACAGAAAAGAGAATTAAAAGAAAGAAACTTGACAAGAGCTACCATGCAAAACAACCAGCAGAACTGGAGTTCAGTGGCACAGATCAGCAGGAGCCTAGGAATGCTGCAAAAGATGGTGCTGCCTGGAGTCTAACTTGGCGATGCCCCTGTGATGCTGGACGACCAAGTACTCAGGTCACAGGTGTGTTCATGGACCCATAAGAACTAGGATCTTGACCCAAACTTTTAAGATCTTCTAAAAAGAAAATACTTCACCTAAATTGAAGTAATATATAATTCAAACACCAGAAGAGTTCCTTATTTGATGTAAGTTGTGCCTAAAACTTTGGCTGATACAAAGAAACCCGTCCACTAAGGCACCCGGAGGCGATCTGACAATGTGTTGGAGAAAACTTTGTCGTCAGTACCACATCATTATGAGAGTACAGAGAACGGATCACCCGCAGGGGACTGGCTTCTTTGGGCAAACAGTCAATAAGTTCACTGCACTGTTTGTCAAATCCCAACAAGCGAATCCCGTAGCCATGTGGGGAAGAAATCATTCGCCCATCAGGGCTGAAGCAAAGTTCTTTGATATAACCCCTGCCTACGTTGGCTTCTTCAATGTAATGAGTCAGTCGTAGAGAACAGCGAGGTGAGACTGGTCGCACGGGGGCTCCTTCTTGGAATTCATAGACACAAGTCCACTAGAGGGAGAGAAGAGAGACAAATCATAGAGCCTCATAAATGGAGTATAACCTTTAAAAATTGTGAATAACTTTACTGTCACCTGTAACTTATATAATATTGTACAGCAACTATACTTCAACTAATTAAAAAACAAAAAGTTACAGAGTCCCAAACAGTGCTACAGATAATCTTTTTTTTAAAAAAAAAAGCTCCACAGAATGCCAAAGCTACAGAATCGTTCCAAGAAATCATTCAGATGAATGCTACCCCTCTCCCAACTAACAAAACTTGTAGGTCCCATACTGTCTTATCTACATTCATATCAAGGTTATTCTGTACTATGACACTTTAAAGCCTTTTATTCCCTGAGGCCACTGTGACTTCTGAAGTAATAATTCCCTTTTCAAGAATTCTTGTTACTCAAGAGAGTAACAAGAATCTTGATATTTTAGGGTTAAGACATCTAAGCCCTAGAATACCTCTCCTCCTACACACTTCAAAGACTCTTCTCTCCTGTTAGCTGTGGCTTCTAGAGCTAGTGACTAGCTAGCTAGCTCTGGAAAGACTCCTGCTTTCCAGAGTAAGGAGAATCATAAGCTCATATAGGATCTTTTCCCCTAGTTATCAGTTCAGTCCCTTCCTTTCCCAAAGCTTTCCCTGGTTTTTAAAAAGAGAAAATCATAATACTCCCATTTAGCCAGCTTAGCTCAGTCCTATGTTTACTATATAAGGGGTTTTTCACATTGAGATGAAGGAGGCAGGAATTAAGCTGGGCTCAATCTGAGCTGATGACTCCTTTAAAGTACTTCCTGCTTGCCACACACAGGCCAGAGAGGAGGAAGGATTTTGAAGGGATAAAGGCACCGTGAGCACACATGGCAATGGCAGTTTGTTCAGTCAGCCCCATCGAAGGTGGAGTGCTGCTCCCCATACCTCCTGATCATCAGTGTTGCTTGAGCACCGAAGAAGAGTGGCCCAGCCTTTTGGGTGCAGCTGTAACGATGTGATGCAATTTCCACGGTCTCTCTCACCAGGAACTTCAGGGGTTAAGACTTCAAGACTGTTTCGTGGTGAAATTCCTGAGATATAAGAAAATTAGGATGTGGAATTTGTATTATCAAAGGACTAAGGTAGCTCATCAAAGCTTTGATTTCTGGCAGCCACCCTCATGCCTTTATTCTTTCATCTGCCCCTTATGCTACCACATGTAAAAAACCATGGTGCCCTTCAACGTATGGGGTATGTGTCTTTGGGGTGGGTATGGGGGAAGGGGTATGACAGAACTAAAGAATCTAAGTTCCTGCAGCAGGAATCAACAATAACCTAACGCTAAGGCGTTAAAGCTGACTAGGAATCCTTTTGATTTGGATCTACATCTCAAGTTATGTGACATGAAAGGAACCTGGAAAAGTAAAAGCCAACAATTCTCATCTCAGAGGACCTGAGAAGGAAATACCTGGAAGCCATGAGCACTGCCTTTATATAGATGAAAGATGTGTGCAAGGAGCAGGACTTATGGCCCCCAAGGACAGTACTATAAACAACAAATCAATGTATAATTTTGGAGGTAAGAGAGGACAACTCACACAGGACATGTCAAAACAAGGGGTGGGAGATACTGCCAACTGTACATATTCCTGGTACTCTGCTATGGCCCATCATTTCTTTCTACCCGGCCCCCAATGAAATTGACTGCTGTAGTGAGCCATTGTTACAAATGGGAGTATGTCATATCCCTCAAATACGTGGAGAACCACTTTCATACACATTGTAAGGAAGCAGCTTAGAAATTTATTATCAAGAGAAATATTTCAACACTTCTCTGCCTATAGGAGTTGCTTTAAAGATAATGAGCTGCCTCTGTCAGACCCTTCATGAATTATTTCGCACTTAGATGTGTTATCTTCTTTTAAAAGCTTCCCTTTAGATTACTGCAGCATTGACAGAAACCTGTGACGATCTAAATTACATTCTCACAACCAAATTATACCTAAAGAATTATTTCACATGTGATTGAACCTTAACAACAATTTTAGAAAAAAAACAAACCCTATTTCAAGAATTTTGAAAATCTATAACAAAAGCAGAAAAGAAACCCATTCTGCATAAGTAAGCAGTGGTTTTTGAGCTCTGCTCCTTGGAGGTTGCTCAAGAGCTGGCAAAAGGGGGAAACCATACAGGGCCAGGGTGGAGATGGGGTAGGGAAGACTGGAGGGTCAAGGGCCTCCTTAATTTTACTTGAACCAAAGTTACTTCACTTTTATTTGTGCTACATCCCTAAGAATCCACAGGAGAAATGTTACATATGTGGGCATAAATCTCTAAGAGGAGGAATATTTAACCTTAAAATGAGACATCATAGTCTTCAACATCCAGAGGACAGGATGGTGGATAGTCTATAGGTTTAGGTTAGGAAGGTCTCTCAAACCATTCTTGGAAGTAGTCAGGCAAAGTAATCAAGAATGCATTTATTGAGCACTTACCAGATGAGGCCACCCAGGGAAAACACTAATTATAAGTCTAAGTGTAGTCCTGCCTCTAAATATCTAGGTAGGAGATATGCTTATTTCCAAAAGGTGACCCAAAAATATATATATCTGGCCATCAGTCCATCAAGAGGAGAACAAAAAGTGCTGTAAGAGCTTAGATGTGAATTAGTATGGAGAGGGATGATGAGTGAAATTTGCATAGGTAGAAAGCATTTCAATTAAGGGGTGGATAGAACAGACTGAGCAGCTAGTTCTCCCAGATTGGCTGGGGAAAAACTGGCAAAAGTAGAGTGGGGCCAGATTATAGCTCTTTATCCCACAACCCCTCTGAGGCTGCCAGGCATTGCTGAGTTAAGGAAATGGCAAAGCAAAAAGCCTGCTGGGCTGGAACCAGGCAACTTTCACAAGCACCTGATAAACTCATCCCTTTATATTTACATAGCACTATCACATGCATAGTCTCATTTAATTTCTATAACAACCTTGATTGGAGTCTATATTTCCCAACTATTCTCTCTCCAAACTAGACCAAACTAAATCCAGAAAATAAAACTAAAGTTCAAATTCCAACAAAAATGTAAGCCCAAGATATTCAACCCTAGAGACTGGTTAGCTTTTTGGGGTTTTGTTTGTTTGTTTTTTGTTTTTTTGGCCACACTGTGTGGCATGCGGGATCTTAGTTCCCCAACCAGGGATTGAACCCATGCCCCCTGCAGTGGAAGTGCTGAGTCCTAACCACTAGACTGCCAGGGAATTCCCTGGTTAGCTTTTTGAAAATTACTGAGGAGCAAGGAATAGCCTCATCTCTATTGGCTTTTATTTTTAAGGATTAAAATCAAACTAAAAAAAGCTATTTTAGAATCTGTATTCAAGATTATGAAATCCAACTTTTGACCTACCTTCTCTTTGTGAGGCTCGTGACATGTGTTTCTCAGAAGATGAATTAGAATCACTATGATGAGAAGGTGAACCAGAAACTCTAGGACCGGATGAACTCGACAAAGTGGTAAGATCTTGAAAATACAAAACGTTCCGACAGTAAAGCTAGCAAAACTCTGGTAGTGTCTCTTAACTTTTTAATCATCTACTTGAACCATATTGTTAAAGTTCATCTGAAACATGGCAAGTACATATCCACCTAAAAGTGGCCTATAAAAAAGACTGAGGTGGGCAAGATAGCTCTTTGGAATGTCTAATCTAAGGCCTAGTCCCTTTCTAAAACCCTTTTTACATCAATGACTTCCTTAAGTGAAATAAAAATGAAAAACCAAATAAACATAGGAACATCTTAGGTTTCCCATCATTTCTGTAGTGAAATGGAACAAGGAAATTCAGCAAGAATGAAAACTGAGCTGTTCAGCCTGTTGTTTTATGTTAGAATGGCATCCAAACAGGTCCATTACCGAGAACATGAACAGATCCTTCTTAAAGCATACCAACAACTTCTATCATCATTACTGAAATTATGTGAATACCATCTTTGAAATGCAATACAAACTTAACATTGAAATCTGGGAAAATAAAATGAATATCAGATAGGTGAGTCTGACGTATCATTCCAAATAGCAGTCTCTATTTCACACTTTTCTTGTGGCCGCACATTTCTATGGGGACTTCTTATTAATCTAATTTCTTTGGATGGTATTAAGTATCAGAATTACCTTTAGAAGACAGAAAACCTTCCTGGTTTTTAAGCAAAACATGCCAATTTAGACCTTCTAAATCACTACTTCTCACTAAGCTCACTAAGCTAAAGTTGATTATTAATGTTTAACCTAAAAATTTGAAATGAAAAGGACTGTACTTGCACATTAATGAAATCCTTTGCTTGCAAATAAGTTGGTAAAACTTAAATTTCTACTTTTAGCAGTGAAATTAGGCAACTGCAATACAATGAGGCCTGCACATTCCCAAAGGAGTCTTCAGAAGTGGCCCTGTGCATAGAGAAAGATTCCAACCATTTGAAGTTGATTTTAAACAACAATTTATGAACGTTATATTTTCCAAATGCTTAAGTATTTTTTTCTGAGTTCTTGTTCATAAACACAATATTATAACTAATGAGTATGTTCCTATATCAGCCCTCTTCTTCCTAAAGGTAGATATAATATAGTCTCTATCATGTAATGTAGTACAGAGTTTTCCTGAGCCCCCATTTTGCTTAAGTCCAATGGAATTGGCAACAGGAAAAGGAACAGGGCTTTAGCAAGAGGATGTTTATAGGTCATGAGATAAGATGGCACCAACTACCTGTGTCTGGACATCTGAAAGTCTAGGATGCAATACAGACTTAAAATTAAAACTCTATATTGACTATAACTTAACAGCTCTGCTGGGTTCCAGAAAAACTTAAAAAAGATTGACAGTAATTTCGGCCATCACAGATTTTTGAGATAATGGTGATCTACAAATACTGATGAAGACTTTCTGGCTAGCAGAGGGCTAAAAAAATTTTTTTTAGAGTTAGAAGTTATTCTTCCTATATCATTTGTGAGACAGAGGCACAAATTAAAACTATGTCAGAGATACATGTAGATCATTATACTTCCTTAGGAAAAAAGCTATTACTGAGCTTTCCAAAGAATATCTTTTAACTTTCTTCCCTTCTTTCTGCTGTCATTCTCAGAATAGAAACATATACCATCCCCATGTCTGAGATTACTTAGAAAAAACTTTCTTTAATCAAAAAAGGAAAGCTTACCTGAACTTGATGTTGTTCTTCTTGCTCTCAGAATGGGATAGCTGCCTACTTCTAAAGACTTGGTTAAGTCAAGATCATGCAAAATCAAGAGATATCCAGAGGACGTTGAGATCAGCATTTTGGAACAATCTGGTGTTAATCTCATTCGCATGAGAAAACGTGTGTGAAAGAATTTCTTATGTGGACACCCATCTTCTGTACACCTACAAAAGAAATCAAACCAACAAAACCTAGAGTTATCATAAATATAAGCATTCAGTGATAGTCATATTTTTGCCCTTCAAACTAGAATTTACACTTGATGTACACTCAGACTTATACATATGAAAAATTTTTGCTCACCATTCCTTCTTCCATCTCTAACTTTTTTTTAAAGATTATTATTTCTTTCTGAAGTATATTAAAATTTTGTTGAGATAAACTCTCACTTTTTATTGTTCTGAAAATCTTTATTTCACTCTTTGATTAAAGGTTTAGCTGAGCCTATAACTTTAGGTTGATAGTTATTTCTTTCTGAATATTGAGGATAATATTCCAGTGAGTTCTGGCTTCTATTGTTGCTATTTTTAAGTCTACTATCAGTCGAATTGTTACTTTGGATAATTTTTTTTCCTTTGGTTGATCTTCTCCTTGTTTTGGAGTATTGCAGTTTCACTGTGACGTGTAAATTTGGATTTCTTTTCATTTATCTTCATTGGGATTCATTTGACTTTCTAAAACTTAAGATTCATATTGTTTATATATTCTGGAAAATTTTCCATCATTATTCCAATATTGCCTCTCACCTATTTTCTCTATTCTTTTGGAGCTCTAGATAGATATTTGAAACATTCCCATTTGACTCTCCTTGTCTAATAACTGCTCTTTCATGTTTTCTATCTCCTCATTTGCATATGTTGCCATCTTGGTAATTTTTCAATATCTTTCTTAACCTGTTTTTTAAGCTGTGTTTGCTACTTGTTTTTATAGACTTCAATAGTTCTATTTCCTTACTTCTTTAAGTTCTATTTGGCTCTATTTCAAATCTGTATGATCTTTTGAATAGATTTTTATTCCTTGCCTATGTTTTTTAGTCCCCATTTTATTTCCTTTTTTATTATTTTTAAAACTGTGAACTTTGTCATCCCTACAGAAAAGTACATAAATAAGACATATGTAGAGTTTAAAGAAAAATGAACAGCTGTGATTCATCACCCATGTTAAGAGGTAGAACAATACCAGTACTTTAAAAGTCCCCTCTGTTTCTCTTTTCTGTAGCATCCTTCAGTCAGCATACAGGGCTTCAAGCATGCAATAACTTTTCTTATCTCTCTGAGGATATTTATAGGTTTTTAAAATTTTAAGTTTTCTTCTCCCTACGTAGTTTCTACTTTTTCCAAGATATCTCCCCATTTGTGTAAGTCTTTTCATAGAAACTTTTGTCAAATGTCTGATTATGTTTGGCTGTCTGCTCATAATTAAGAGTGGGGAACTAAAAAGCTGACTGGGAACTCTGAGTGCAAGGGTAGGCTTGAGCTTCACTAAATAGGGTGAAGCCATTTTTTGAGGAACTCCTAATGTCAGTACCTTTAGTTCGTTAATGGAAAGAACTTGTGAGGATCTCTAAATTCAATATTCAGTGTGCATATGGTCACTTAATCCCCCTGATTTTGGTAAGGTACCCAAGCCTTCAACTGTGTCTGGCATCCTTTAATACAGATATTCTCTATTTTACCTCTTTAGAGAATAAAATTCAAAATTCCTGCTGAAATGCGAGGAGGTAAATAGCCCAGCAGTATGGATTAAGGGAGGAGATATAAGTTCTTAAATATCTTTCATTTGAATCCTTATTTTAGCTACCCTTTCTGTTACAGAGTACCGAGAGTTGCCAGTTACTGTGATTTTTGAGGATTTTGTATAAATATTCTTAAGTTCTTAACTTTTTCCCACTGCCAGTTTAGGATTCAGCTTTCTTGTACTTACTAGTAAGTAAGTTTAAGTGAGTTGCTGAGTCGGTTGCCACTCATCTTCCTGCCTTCCAGATTTTAAAACTTTATTGTCATTCCTTCCTTTCCTATTTCCCCATCTTATGAGTTTATACCCTTCATTTTAAAATTTGCTTATATTTAATTTTAGAGGAATCTTTTCATCCATAGATTCTATTTAGGTCTTACAATAACTTAAATGAAATTTTAGTTTTCTCCATAGTGGTTATACAGATCTTCTGTTGCAATTTATTCCTGTGTACCAACTAAATTTTTTTAAGAACATTTATTTATTTATTTATCTATTTATTTATTTTATTTGGCTGTGCCACACGGCATGCATGATCTTAGTTCCCCCACCAGGGATCGAACCTGTGCCCCCTGCAGTGGAGTCATGGAGTCTTAACCACTGGACCACCAGGGGAGTCCCCAACTAAATTTTTTAATTACTAAAAACTATGTACTTAAAAAAAATTTAAATTGTTTGTAGTGATGTATAGGAACACTACTGATTTTTACATTTTGATCTTATATCTAACAACCTTAGTTAACGCTAATTAATTCTGATAATCTGTCAGTAGAATTTCTAGGGTTTTCTATATAGACCCTAGGTGTCTAAAAACTGTGGCCTATGGGCAAAATCTGGATCACTGCCTGTTTTTATATAAAAAGTTTGTTGGAACATAGCCATACCCATTCATGCATTGTCTATGGCTGCTCAGAGACAATATAACACACAAAGCCTAAAATATTTATTACACAGTCCTTTATAGAAAGTTTGCCAGCCCCTGATACAGATAATCGTATCATCTGAGAATGATATTGTTTCATTTTTTCCTTTCCAATCCTAATATATTCCAATCCTTATTTATTTTACTGCACCAACTAGGACCCTGCCTCCCTCCAACCCAAAACAATAGTGAACTGCAGGAGTAATAGCAAGCATGTTCTCCTTCCTGATTTTATAGAGAAAACGTCTAAAGTTTCACCATTTAAAAATGTGCTATAGGTTTTTAGTGCCTACTTTTGATCGGTTTCCTTCTAACTAGTCATCAATACAATCCAATTTTAGAACATTTTCATCACTCTAAAAAATCACTCTTGCCCATTAGCAGTCATTCCCTTTCCTACTCCCAGCCACAGATAACCACTAATCTACTTCCTGCCTATTGCTGACATTTCATATAAATAGAATCATACAATAAGTTGTCTTTTGGTTTGGCTTTTTCACTTAACTTTTTTGAGGTTCAGCCATATTGTAGCACGTAATAGTACTTTGTTCCTTCTCAGTACCACATAGTATTCTATTGTATCGATATACCACATCTTGTTCATCCTTTTACCAGTTGATAAGTATTTAGATTGGTTCTATTTTTTTGCTATTATGAATAACACTATTATAAGCATTCTTTGTGTGGACATATATATTCATTTCTCTTGGGTAGATATCTAGAAGTGGAATTGCTGGGTCATATGGCAACTCTGTGTTTAACATTTTAAGAAGCTGTCAAACTGTTTTCTAAAATGGCTGTACCATTTTATATTCCTACCAGCAATATATGAAGTTCCAGTTTCTCCATATTCTTGCCAATATTTGTTGCTGTCTTTTGTTAAAGCCATCTTATTAGATGTGAAGTGGTATCTCATTTTGGTTTTAATTTGCATTTCCCTTAAGACTAATGATGTCAAACATCTTTTCAGGTGCTTATTAATCATTTGTGTATCACCCTTGGTGAAATGTCTATGTCAGTATCTCGCCCATTTTTAAATTGGGTTATCTGAATACATGTAAGTGAGTTAGAAGAATTCTTTATCTATTCTGGACACAAATCCTTTAGCAGATGTGATTTACAAATATCATATCCCATCCTGTAGTTTTTCTTTTCACTTTCATTTGTTGAACAGACTATCCTTTCCTGAACTACTGAATTACTTTAGTACGTTTATTGAAAATCAGCTGATCATAAATATAAGGGTTGATTTCTGGACTCAATTCTGTTCCCTTAATTTATATTAGACGTCTATCCTATGCCAGTACCACACTGTCTTGATTACTATGGCTTTGTAGAAATTTCTGAAATCAGGAAGTGTGAGTCTTCCAACTTGTCCAAAAAAAAGGCAGCTGGAATTTTGATAGGGATTGCCTTGAATCCATAGATTAATTTGGAGAGAATTGCCATCTTAATGATATTGAATCTTCCAATCCATGAGCATGGAATGGTCTCTCCATTCGTTTATATCTTCTTACATTTCTTACAGCAACGTTTTAGTTTTCAGCGTACAAATCTTGTACTTCTTTTGTTAAATTCATTCCTAGGTATTTTATTGTTTTTTAATGCTATTAGTGGAATTTTTTTCTTCATTTTTGGACTGTTCATTGCTTATGAATAGAAATACAATTGATTTTTATATATTAATCTAGTATATCTTATGACCTTGCTGAACTTATTAGTTCTAGTAGTTTTGTGAATTAAAGATTTTTTTTTTTTGCGGTACACGGGCCTCTCACTGTTGTGGCCTCTCCCGTTGCGGAGGCTCCGGATGCGCAGGCTCAGCAGCCACTGAGGTATTTGTTTATGTAAGTTGTCTGATGTGTTGCCGTAGAGTTTTTCATTGTATTCCTTTGTAATCCTTTTATTTTTTTTTATAAGGTTGGTAATGATGTCCCTTCTTTTGTTTTTAATTATGAACAAATGTTGAATTTTATTCAGTTGAAACAATCATATGGATTTTTCTATTTAACCTGGTGTGATAAATTATACTAATAGAATTTCTATTGATAAATCTTTTCATTTCTAGAATAAACCCAACTTGGTCATGATATATTTTTTTAATTAATTAATTTATTTATTTATTTTTGGCTGTGTTGGGTCTTCGTTTCTGTGCGAGGGCTTTCTCCAGTTACAGCGAGCGGGGGCCACTCTTCATCGTGGTGCGCGGGCCTCTCACTATCGCGGCCTCTCGTTGTGGAGCACAGGCTCCAGACACGCAGGCTCAGTAGTTGTGGCTCACAGGCCCATTTGCTCTGTGGCATGTGGGATCCTCCCAGACCAGGGCTCGAACCCGTGTCCCCTGCATCGGCAGGCAGACTCTCAACCACTGTGCCACCAGGGAAGCCCGGTCATGATATTTTGATTAATATCTTACAGGATCCAATTTCCCTTTTTTAGAATATTCGCATCTACATCCATAGTACATACTGACCTTTCATTTTGAGTTTGTGTATCAAGGTCACACCTGAGGTAAGAATTCCATTTTTCTGGAATCTGAACAGTTTAATAAGATTGGAATGTTCTGTTTCTTGTAATATTTGGTAGAAGTCACCTGTAAAATTGACAGGCTGCTGTTTTATTAGTAGATAGGTATTTTTTAAAAAAATATTTATTTACTTATTTGGTGGCGCTGGGCCTTCGTTGCTGTGTGCAGGATCTTCATTGCAGCATGCGGGTTCTTTTCTTTCTTTTTTTAAAAAAATCTTTTATTATTATTATTTATTTATTTAGGCTGTGCTTGGTCTTAGTTGCAGCATGCGGACTTCTTAGTTGCCACACATATGTGGGATCTAGTTCCCCAACCAGGGATCGAACTCAGGCCCCCTGCATGGGAGTGTGGACCACCAGGGAAGTCCCAGTAGATAGGTTTTAATTGATTTTTTTCATTTCTCTAATAGCTAAGGCAGAAGTGACAGCCCTGCATGAAAACTAGCCAGAGCTGATGATGCAGGTGGCAGTGCTGGAACTGGATCCTGCGATTAGTCTGCTATGTAAGGGGGGCTTCAGCTACTAGATCATAGGGAGAGATCTTGAGGAAAGTATCTCTAGAAGAGGTGCCACGGTACCCAGAAGGTGCCAGGATATGACACATGGGGATGATTCATGACAGTGACTATTTATCAATTAATTAGTAAGGAAGAAGTTCAATCTTATAACAACCTTTTCAGCTGAACCAGTGCATAATGGTTAAATATCAGTCCTGGTAATAAGTCTATTTCACGTTTTCTATTTCTTCCTTGATCAGTTTTGCATAGGTGTATTTTTTGTGTAAACTATTTCATCAAAGTTTTCAAGTATATTGGCAAAAGGTGATCTTATTATCTTACTCTATATTTTTTATTGTCTTCTTTCTAATTGCTGAGATTGTGTCCTCTTTTTTTCTTAATGTATCTTATCAGAGAAGAGCAGGCTTTTAAAAAATCTTTATTGTATTTCATTTTCTATTTCATTAATTTCTGCTTTTTTAAAAAAAGATATTTATCATTTCCATACATCTACTTTCATCAGGTTTACCCTTTTTTATCTTTTTCAGACTTTTTGAGTAAGATGTTTAGTTCATTAATTTTTAGTCTATCTATCTCCTGATTTCCCTATGATTTTTTTCTTTGATCCATTAATTATTTAGGAAGCAAGTTTATAAGTCTCCAAACCTGGGAATTTTTATTTACCTCTGGTTCATTAAACTGTACTGGGATCAGGGAAAATGGTTTGTGTGATAACAATTCTTTGATATTGGTTGAGACTTACTTCGTAGTCCAGAACATCTCAATTTTTGTACATGTTCAAACTTTGCTTTAGAGGATGTATTCACTATTTGGGAGCAGAATTCTACATATGCCTACTAAATCAAGCTTATTAATATTATTAAAATATTCTATAGACTTACTAGTTTTTTGGTCTATTTTATCTATTAGTAAATGAGAGAATGATGTTAATATTTTCCACTGAGATGGAGATTCTCACTTTTTTCTTGTCTGTTTTTGCTTTTTATGGTTTGAGGCTATGTTATTAGGTACACACAAGATAAGAATTTTTATGTTCTAGTGAAATAAAGCTTCTAATATAGTACCTTTTTAAAATCACTAATAATGCTGTATGCCTTAAACTCTATTTTGTCTGCTATTAATGTAGATATAACTATTTTTCTTTGATTTGTATTTATCTTTTATTTTTTCCCATCATTTTACTTTCAAACTTTCTGTGTTTGTATGTTTTAGGTATACTACTTATGAAGAACATAGAGTTTGTTTCTGTTTTTTTAATCCGTCTAGTACTATCTAATAACTGGTTACATTAGTCCATATATACTTACTCTAATTGTTGATATTCCATTATCCGCCTATCATATTCTTGTGCTTCCTAATTTGCCTGTTTTTTTTAAAAAATGATTTCCCCCCCCTTCTTCTCTGCCTCTATTGGATTGATTGTATTTTTTAGCTTTTATCCTTCTACTAATTTGGAAGTTATTTATATTCCTATTCAAATTTTATTTCTAAACTAAAAAATAATTAGTCCTAAATTTAAACAGACACGCTTGTCTTAGTTTAAAGATAATCAGTAGCTCTATGCTTTGCTCAAACAATATGAATAACTAGAAATCTTTAAGAATATCCCCCTAGTTTTACATATGAGCTCTAAAAAGAATATTTCAGAAACGTTCCTGGTGTATATTACTGTATTGTCATTTTACCAAAGCTAGCAACAGGAATATTATAATTATTTCCCAAACTTTAACTCTTTCAATTCTCTATAAGGAGATATTCTACTGAAGTGTTTCACAACACAGGCATTAGTGACATTTTAGATGGGATGACTGGTCCCCTGTGCAAACTGTCCCATGCACTGCAGAATGTTTAGAAACTCTGATCCCTGCTGACTAAATGCCAGTAGAAATCCTCCTCTCTTCTCCTGTAGTGACAACTAAAACTGCACTACACATTATTTCCAAACATTCCCCTAAGGATCAGTACCACTCCAACTGAGAAACCACTCTTCTAATGCATGAAAACAAAGTGCAAAAATTACAAAATAGATTTAGAATTGAAGGACCAAAGAGTGAAAAACATTTCAGTTCCACAAAGGAAATAATAACAAAAATAGTTTTCCTTAAGTTCAGGAAACTCATTTTATAAACCAGTTTTCATCATTAACTATATTACTTGGTCTCCTTTCCACATAATTTTCTCCAAGTTTTTTAGTCACAATATGTGACTAAGTGCAAGGAACAAGATGGAATCACTTTCTGATTGTTTTTTCCCAAAGCCAGTTTCTTTCTCCTAAAGAGATATGAGAGCTAAGACAGAACACTGAATTTGTTTACCATCTTAAAAACATTTTTTTGTTGTTCATAATCCTAACATGACCTCCTATTCACAAACCTGTTGGTGTCCCAAATAATGACATTTCCATCAAATCCTGACGTTACTAAGAGTCTTGTATTAGTATCATATTCGATGTTCTTCACCCAGCTAGTGTGACCATGTAAAGTGCATACTTTGCTGTTCAGTTTTCTCAGATCCCATAGTGCTATTGTAGTGTCATCAGAGCAGGTAGCAAACAGCCGGTTATCAAGAAATCTACAAAGCAGAAAAGAAAAACTAGTTCATTTAATCTCTTATTAAAGAAAAACTGAGAAGCAGTCTCTGTATTAGGAATCAAGAAAACAAATCAAAAAAGGACTACAAACTCACTGTATAAACCCAGTGATTCTAATATATAATAAATAGTAAGTATAATTCACATAACCACAGAGAAGGATACTATGATTTAGTGAGGGCCATGTTGCAATTTTATCTGTTTTACATTATTGATTTTTACTCAAAACTAGAAATAGGGGTGGGTGTTTAGAGAACAGTGCTAGAGAAAATGAATTTTAGAATCTGTATAGGAAACACAAATGGTGAGAGACAATTTAATAGGAGACAAAGGAGATTTTGAATACTTAATTGCAAGTGAAACATGTTAAGCATAAAGTGTTCAAAATTATGAGAAATATTTACTCTGCTACCAATAACATCTCTATCTATTTAGAGTACATTTCTCTTTAGAATACATTTACATATAAAAATTGCTACTAAAGTGCCATAATTTTTAATCTATTAATTCAAAGCCATTCCCCAAATAATCTCACTTCTAGGACAACCAAGAAGAAATGGAAAAATTCTTAAAAAGGTAGTTTCCCAAGACTGAACCAAGAAGAAGTAGAAAATATGAACAGATCAATTACCAGCAATGAAATTGAATCAGTAATTTAAAAACTCCCCACAGGGACTTCCCTGGCAGTCCAGTGGTTAGGACTCTGCGCTTTCACTGCCGAGGGCCCAGATTCAGTCCCTGGTCTGGGAACTAAGATCCCGAAAGCTGTGTGGCACAGCCAAATAAATAGATAAATAAATTTTTAAAAATTAAAAAATAAAAATAGGGCTTCCCTGGTGGCATAGTGGTTAAGAATCTGCCTGCCAATGCAGAGGACACACATTCGAGCCCTGGTCCAGGAAGATCCCACATGCTGCGGAACAACTAAGCCCGTGTGCCACAACTAACTGCGCCTGTGCTCTAGAGCCTGCGAGCCACAACTACTGAGCCCACATGCCACAACTACTGAAGCCCGTGCACCTAGAGCCTGTGCTCCGCAACAAAAGAAGTCACCTCAATAAGAAGCCCATGCACCACAACGAAGAGCAGCCCCCTCTTGCCACAACTAGAGAAAGCCCACATGCAGCAATGAAGACCCAACACAGCCAAAAAATAAATTAATTAATTTAAAAAACAAATAAGGTCCCTGTGCTACTCTATAGCACAGGGAAATCTACTCAGTACTCTGTAATAACTACATGGGAAGAGACTCTGAAAAAGAATATATATATATATATATATATATAAAAAACTAAATCACTTTGCTGTACACCTGAAACTAACAAAACACTGTAAATCAACTATACTCCAATATAAAATAAATTTTTTAAATTAAAAAAAACGACTTAGGGTGGGAAGCTGTTGTTACTTAGTGATTATATATATTTCAAAATAATTTTATGGCTATGCATAAATTAGTTTGTAAACTACATTAATAAATTAATAAGATTTTTTTAAAAACTTAAAAGCTTTTGTACAGCAAAGGAAACTATTGACAAAATAGTTTGAAAAGACAACCTACTGAATGGGAGAAGATACTGCAAATGATACAGCTGATAAAAGGTTAATATCCAAAATATATAAACAGTTTATACAACTCAACATCAAAAAATACTAACAACCCATTTTTTAATTTTTCCAAAGAGAAAATGCAGATGGCCAAAAGGCACATGAAAAGATTAAAAAACCACAATGAGGTATCACCTCACACCTGTCAGAATGGCTATCATCAAAAAGAACACAAATATCAAATGTTGGTGGGTATGGGGAGAAAAAGGAACCCTCATACACTGATGGTGGAAATGTAAATGGGTACAGGTACTGTGGAAAACAGTATAGAGGTTTCTCAGAAGCTAAAAATAGAACTACCATATGACCCAGCAATTCCACTCCTGAGTATATATCTGAAAACAAAAACACTAATTCAAAAAGATACATGCACTCCAATGTTTATAGCAGCATTATCTACAATTGCCATCGTATGAAATCAACCTATGTGTCCATCAACAGATGAATGGATAAAGAAGATGTGTTATATATATACAATCAAATACTACTCAGCCATAAAAAGGAATGAAACTTTGCCATTTGCAGCAACATGGATGGACTTAGAGGGCATTATGCTAAGTGAAATAAGTCAGAGAAAGACAAATACTATATGATATCACTTATATGTAGAATCTAAAAAATACAACAAACTAGTGAATAAAATAAAAAAGAAGGCAGACACAGAAACAGAGAATAAACAAGTGGTTACCAGTGGGGAGAGGGAAGCAGGGAGGGGCAGGAGAGGGGTAGGAGGGGAAAAAAAAATGGGGTTATTATGGGATTATATGAAATCATCTGTGTGAAACTTTTGAAAATTGTAAAGCACTACAGAATTTTAAAAAATCTTTCATTCAGTAAAAAAAAGAGAAAACATACCATCATTTTTTATCTATTAATTCAAAAGCATTCCCCAAATAATCTCACTTAGCAACATTTTATTAGGACCAGTCAAGATTACAAAATAGATAATTAACAGTTTTCCAAGGCAATAGAAATAAAAGCAAAATTACATAAATGGGACCTAATCAAACTTATAAGCTTTTGCACAGCAAAGGAAACCATAAACCAAATGAAAAGACAACCTATGGACTGGGAGAAAATACTTGCAAACGATGTGACCTCCAAGGGCATTGCTAATTATTAGAGAAATGCAAATCAAAACTACGATGAGGTATCACCTTACAAAATGGCCATCATTAAAAAGTGTACAAATAAGGGCTTCCCTGGTGGTGCAGTGGTTGAGAGTCCGCCTGCCGATGCAGGGGACGCGGGTTCGTGCCCCGGTCCGGGAGGATCCTGCATGCCGCGGAGCGGCTGGGCCCGTGAGCCATGGCCGCTGGGCCTGCGCGTCCGGAGCCTGTGCTCTGCGGCGGGAGAGGCCACAGCAGTGAGAGGCCCGCGTACCGCAAAAAAAAAAAAAAGTGTACAAATAATTAATGCTGGAGAGGATGTGGAGAAAAGGTAACCCTCCTACACTGTTGGTGGGAATGTAAATTGGTATATCCACTATGGAAAACAGTATGGAGGTTCCTTAAAAAACTAAAAATAGAATTGCCATACGATCCAGCAATCCCACTCCTGGGAATATATCAGGAAACTCTAATTCAAAAAAAGACATGTACCCCAATGTTCATTGCAGCACTATTACAATAGCCAAGACATGGAAGCAACCTAAATGTCCATGGACAGATGAACAGATAAAGAAGACGTGATATATATGTACAAAGGAATACTACTCAGCCATAATAAAGAATGAAATAATGCCATTTGCAATAACCTGGATGGACCTAGAGATTATCATACTAAGTGAAATAAGACAGAGAAAGACAAATATGGTATGATATCACTTACATGTGGAATCTAAAAGATGATACAAATGAACTTATTTATAAAACAGAAACAGACTCACAGCCCTAGAAAACAAACTTATGGTTACAAAAGGGGAAAGGGGGTTGGATAAACTAGGAGTTTGGGATTAGCAGAAACAAACTACTATATAGAAAATAGATAAACAACAAGGTCCTACTGTATAGCACAGGGAACTATATTCAATATGTTGTAATAAACCATAATGAGAGAATATGAAAAAAATATATATATAACTGAATCACTTTGCTGTATATCAGAAAATAACACATTGTAAATCAACTATACTTCTATAAAAACAAAAACAAAGTAGACAATTAAAATACTCTATAATTCAGATTTTTAATTATTTTACACTAATTTCTCAATCCTTAGAATATATTTTATATAAACACTTAAAAAATAACCTACCTATCACATTTTAATTTCTGCTCAATTCAACATTAGGATGCTTTCTCTAACATATCTTTTATATATAACTACCTAATCTCTCGCAGAAGAAATGAATTCTGGAGTTTCTTCTAATATATATATATATATAGTTATTTTGAATTATTATTACTTAGAATTATATAAAATTATTTTGTCTCAGAAATCAATCTCAATATCCACAACACCATAATGGCCTTCCTGAAACTAACACGATTTTAAAATCCCAGGCTTTTGCACAGGCTGTTTCTGCTACCTGAAACCACATCCTCCCTACATCTTGACCTGGATAACACTTGCTTTCTTTTTAATAGCCAGCTATCATCCCTTCCAGGAAGGCTTCTCTCTCTATCCAGCCTGGGCCAGATTTACCGATCTTCTAACTTCCTAAAGCACTCTACAGTTCTATGGTAATACTTAATGTTACAGTGTAAGGAATAAATTTACAAGGCTATAAACTCCTTGAAGGCAGGGGAAACCTGTCTGCATAATTCATGATTAGATCTGCAGTACCCAACACACACAGTCCCACTCACAAATATTTATTAAATAAATGAATAAGATAGAAGTTCACTGCCTAGTGAGAAGACATTAGAAATACATAGTTATACAAAATACATGTGTGGGGAGTAAGCAAAGAAAAGAGGATGTTTAGGACAGGTTTCATGGTGGTGTCATGTGAACTGACTTAAAAAAAATGAGCAGGAACACCCTAAGTGGCCAAGGGGTAAGCAAAGTTACAAAGGTGTGTACGGGGATGGTGTACTCTGAGAGGCAACAGCAGTTAGAAGTGCTGTGTGTGGAAAAGTAGAGACAAGTAGAGAATACATCATGGTATTATTCTATAGTGATTCCCAATAACTATTTCTTAATTATAAATACATGCCCATTGAAAATATTTTTTTAAATGGAAAAAAATCCAACACCAAAAATAACCACTGTAATTGATATTTAGCCTAATTCATGTATTTCAAGCCTAATATTATTTCATAACTATTTTGCCATGTCATTAAAGATTTATTGACAAAATAATTCTTAATGGCTGAATAGCATTCACCGTATGAGTGAACCATAATCTTTTCTATTTTAAACTAATTTG